TGTTGCGTTTGAGCAGAGAATCGCTGGACGGAAATGCGACCCATTAATTATTTTCCTGTTAAATAGTGCGGCGGCAAAACATTGGAGCGTTTCATGCATCCAAGTCTAGTTCAAATGACTTAAGACACTCGTTGAGATATGTGGAGTATCTCTGCGATGTCCCGTGTTGTGTGAGCTTGGTAGATTTTAATGAGCGATTCGATTTGGTCATCATTAACGACTGCAGGTCTCCCGCAACATTCTCCTTCTTTCTGGTCAACATTTCCACTTTTGAATCTAGTGAACCATTTACGTATAATACTCTCAGTTATGGCACATATGTTTTTTGCTGTTTGTATAGCGGTTTTTTTTCCTTTCCATAAAATTACGAAAATGCATCTAATTTTCCGCTAATATGACTTTTAACGAAGAAACATTTAAATTTCTCAAGCCACTTACGATTCACACAAAAGGATGCTTTGAAACATAACCTTTTAGAATATGTATATATCTCATAAATTTGAGTCACGTGTGAAACGAAATCACGTTTTCAAACATTAAATGTTGAAAAACGCTTTTGTTCTAACCGACTATATTGACTTGGGGAAATTTGCAATACTAACTCGTATAAAATATGCTTTCCCGATCTATGCGCATATTTTACTCAAATTTCTGTCAAGGCTGATAATGAGAGTAACAGAGTTTGCTGCTCTCATCTGGCTAGTTACGGGAGAAGTTCAAGTTATAGGTCATTCGTCATATTTTCGGCCACTATTCAAACAAGCAAATGTAGTTTTTGAGTGAGAAGCGGGTTCGGGCCTAAGGGGAATTAATGCAAAGTGAAAATAAATAGCTTTAGTTAGAATCGAACTTGGCGAACCACATTCTAATCCAACTACTGACAATAAAAGTACGTTTACACCGCAGGTAAACAAAGTGACATTCAATATTGTATATATAATCGTATGTAAATATTAATACACCTACACTAAATTTTTCATCCGAATCTACAAAGCTCAATGTAATTTTTTACGTAATCCACACTTAAATTAGGTTAGGTAATGTCTTTGCCGTTAAGAACGTTTAGTTTTTAAGCAAATACATTCAAAAAGATCGCTTTTCGGTGTACTGATTGGCCCAAATTAAACTACTGACTTTATCAAGATATGGTATTAAGAAGGATTCGTTTTAAGCGACTTCATTCAAAAAGATCGCTTTTCAGTGTAATGAATTGGCCCAAATTATAGTTTGGTCTTAGTCGTAACATGCTGTTAAAGGTGTACAGTTTTAACAAGACACATTCAAACAGATCGTTTTTTATTGTACCGAGTTGGCCCAAATTATAGTTTTCTTTATGTCGCAAGACGGTAATGGTACCGTGTTTTTTTTTAAAGCAACTTCATAAAAAAAATCGTTTTTCATTCTACTGGGTTGGACTAAATTATAGTTCTGTCTTTGTTGAAAAAAAAAAGTATTAAAATCGCGGAGTTTTAAGCAACTTCATTCTGAATGATCGTTTTTCATTGTACTAGGTTGGCCCAAATTATAGAGCTGACCTTGTTATCACATGACATATGGATGGAGTCGTTTTAAGTAACATTCATTCAAAAAGATTACTTTTTATTGTAATGTGTTCGTCCAAAATTATAGTACTGACTTTGTCATCAAATGGTATTAAGAGAGAGTTGTTTTAAGTAACTTTTATTCAAAAAGATTACTTTTTATTGTAATGGGATGGTTCTGGCTTTAGTTTTCTTTTGGTCGTAACATTAGTTTTAAAAGTGAGCTGTTTTAATTAGTTTTATTAGTTAAAAAAAAAGATCGCCTTTCATTGTAGTGTGTTGACCCCAAATACCATTCTGTCTATTTTGTAAAACAAGAATGCAATTTAACTAACTTGATTCAAAAAGATCGCATTTTATTGTATTGTCGGCTTGGTTCAAACTGTCAATGTGTCTTTGTCATATTATTATATGCGTTTATTTTTAATTAACTTCATTCACACTGATGACTCCTGAGTTCGCTCTGACACCTGTCGTATAAATATCTATTTTTTTTAATCCATCAAAATATATATTATTGATTATTGATTCTAACGTTAGAAATCATCGAAAATGAACTCTATTTTCGGCATATCTTTTTTCCCCTATTTGTAAGAAACTTAATATTAAAATTTTCTAGGACAGATAAAATTGTGTAGATTTTGAAGCAGATTCTGTGACTGACAGAACATGTCAAAATTGGTTTGCGAAATTTCTTGCTATAGACACACAGTAAAAAAAAATGGTATAAAGAGAGAGTCGTTTTAAGTAAGTTTCAGTAAAAAAAGATCACTTTTCGTTGTACTGGGTTAGCCCCAAATTATACTTCTGACTTTGTCATCATATGGCATAAAGAAATAATTTTTTGAAGTAAGTTTCTTTCAAAAAGCTCACTTTTCATTGTACTGTGATGGTTCAAGTTATACAGTGTAACCCGGATATAAGAAATCCGGATATAAGAGAAACCCGGATATAAGAGAGATTTTTATCTGGACCCAAATCAGAGCCTGTGTTAATGTATGTAAAATAGACCAAACCCGGATATAAGAGAAACTCGGATATAAGAGAGTTGTCGGGACCGGAGAAGAAGTCTCTTATATCCGGGTTTGGTCTATTATATATACATTAACACAGGCTCTAATTTGGGACCAGATAAAATCTCTCTTATATCCGGGTTTCTCTTATATCCGGGTCTCTTATATCCGGGTTACACTGTAGTTCTCTTTTTGCCGTAATATTAGTTTTAAAGATTTTAATTAGCTTTTTTCTATTTGTAAGAAAGTTAACATTGCAATTCACTAAAACAGATAAATTTGTATAGATTATGGAGCAGCTTCTCTGACTGAAAGAACATGTCAAAATTGGTTTGCGAAATTTCTTGCTATAGACACCTCGTAGATTCTCTCTGGAAATATCTCGTATTTCGATATGCAATTGTATGGCATAATAAATGGAAAACTTTACTTTTGAACAGTACAGTACAGTAGTAGTGGTAAACGAGACTAGTGTCTTGGATATGCGAGTGACGTAACGGTTATTGGCACCGAAAATGGAACCGGCGAGTCGAGTTTTGTTGCGGTCATTTGCTCTTATGCACTTGGGGCCATTTTACTCCCCAGCTATGGGTTAAATAGCAGAGTCAGCTAAGCTGTCTAACCTTATGATAGCCGGAGAAAACGGAACGTTACTCCACTATAATTCCTAAAATGTGATAACAATGAGAAAAAAAGAGAAAAAGGAAACTGTGGAGGTCCATGATCGTTTATATCCTGAAGTGACACGGCATTTTAAAATTCTTATTAGTCTAAACATTGAAACTTAATCAGGAAGCCAAGTGGATCAAGGAATAGTGTGTTTATCAATCTCCCAAGATAATATTACAAATCACATCTTATATAGAGTGTTCCAATAACTTGGACCGATTTTAAATGTGAATTAAGTTTAAGCGCGTAATGACTTTTTTAAAAATTTTTCTTTCAGATTTAACAACTTAAGTCTTTGGCAATTACAACCATGGAAAGATTAACAATCAAACAACGTGTTAAAGTTATCGAAGCCTATTACGAAAATGGACGTTCAAATTTATAAATATACGACCCAATGATTCCGCTAACAAAAAATGCATACCAAACAGTGACCTTTTGTGGATGCAGTGGCTTTTCAACAGTCTTTCTTGGATTTTCATCAGCCCAAATGCGACAATTCTGCTTTTTAACGAATCCACCAATATGAAAATGGCCTTCATCACTAAAGAGTATTTTTTGCGAAAAATCTTCATCAGCTTGTCTTTGCTCATGCACCCAATTGACGAATGTACGGCGTTCCAAATGGTCAGCAGGTTTCAGTTCTTGTGTTAACTGAATTTTGTAAGCGTGTAGAGACAAATCTTTTGTCAAAATTCGATGTAACGTTGTTGTGGAGAAATTCAATTCCTACGCGTGATGACGAATAGAGGTGTCTGGATTTTCGGCCACATTGTGATGCACTCCATCAATGTTTACGGCTGATCGACGTAGACGAGCACGCAATGGTGTTTTCACATCTGCCACCGATAAAGTTTGTTTTAATTTACGAACAATTATTTCAATTGCACTCTCGGTTGGTCGATTACGTTAACCAAAAAATTGCAAAGTGCGCGAAATGCATTTCTGTTTGAACGTCCATTTTAGAAATAGGCATTGATAACTTTAACACGTTGTTTGATTGTTAATCTTTCCATGGTTGAAATTGCCAAACACTTAAGTTTTTAAATCTGAAAGAAAAGGAAAAAAAATCATTAGACGCTTTAACTTAATTCCCATTTAAAATGGGTCCAAGTTATTGGAACAGCCTACATGTAGGTTTGAACCCCGACTTCTTTTACTGATGTAAGTAATTTCTAGTAAGAAATAAAAGATAGCTTTGTAATAAATAATCCAATGCCTGATCAATAAATGGCGTAGCTGAGAAATGATTTTCATGGCAAATGTTCAGACGAGATACATTCCACCAGTTCAGACATTTAGAGCTAGGACTCGTTATGCCACAGGGTCGAATCATCCCTATTTCCTTCGTATTCCATTGGTAAGGAACCACCTTTTAATTGCTGTTGTTTCCAGGTCTGCTCTGACCAAGGGTGGTAGCACCGGTTAGGGTCCCAACTATGGGCAAATAGTGTCTACCAGGGCTAACCAATCTCTTTAGTGTTATAGAACCCGATTGGTCTAGGAGATGGAAAACTCTTACACGAAAAGTCTGAGGTCTATTGTCTGCTTCGTCTGTGGCATTTATTTGAACCGACTAAGTGTATCAATAGTTCCGAAAAGTGTGGATGGTTCTGCACAAGCCTTCACCACTTTAATCAAATCACTTGTGTGGGTTTTATGGTAGTTTACCTTGATTTGTTCATTCCATTATATATATATATATATATATATATATATATATATATAGATAGATAGATAGATAGATAGATAGATAGATCGGAGCATTTCTAAACACAGATAGATAGATAGATAGATAGATAGATAGATAGATAGATAGATATGTAAGTAGGTAGTGGCTCATACACACTAACAGGGAGAGAGAGATAGGCAGATAAAGAGCTGAAGTGGGAAAGATATGGGGTGTGTCAGATTTTATTATGTAACTCGATGCTTTCGTAATCTAATTAGTCTTAACCAACCAACTTTGCTACAATTTCCAGTATGTATTTACGTGAGTAATATAAAATTATAGAAAACTTGTTTTATTAGTCAACCAACATGTAGTAAACCTTCGTTCCTAATCCTGAATATATAGGCCACACGCTTGTTTTTTTTTCTTTTGGCAAGGTGGGCAAGGTTTTCGCAATGTATTCTTTTTCTTTCTTTCTTTCTTTCTTTCTTTCTTTCTTTCTCCTCTATCTATTTCTCTTTCTTTCTAACAGACATTCAATCTTTCTTGTTCCCTATCTATTCTTTCTTTCTTTCTTTCTTTCTTTCTTTCTTTCTTATATCTACTTCTCTTTCTTTCTAATTCAGTTGAAATGGTGACGCCAATACAAATACAAAAAGACATATGATTCATAGACTACGCAAGAGCAAAAGATTACATACGATACAAAGATCTATTTGAACTATGAGGAAAACTTGATTTATTGTAATATGATCCTATGGTCATCAATTTTTATGATTATATACGAGGTCTGTCTGAAAAGTAACGGGAAAGTAATCCCATTCTAGTCTAATGCACTGTTTCATCCTTCTCTGTCATGCTTCTAGGTACTATTTGAAGGATTCTTCTTCGATACCCCTCAGCTCCTTCGTTACGGCCCTCTGGGCTCCACACCTTCAAAACGGGTCATCTTGATGATCCCCTTAAGAAAAGAAAGAAAAAAAGTCAAAGGAAGCAAGATCATGTGAATATGGAGGTTGTTTCAGTACGGCGATGTTCTTCTAGGCATGAAACTGACGGATGCTCAGGGCGTTGTGTGCAGCTTTATTGTCGGGGTAAAGCAGCCAAGATTTGTCCTGCCACAATTCTCGTATGTGACAAACAAAATGTAATGATTGCAGAAAGTTAAGATTGCAGTTCTATATTCCCAAAATATAAGATGATAACGCAATTCGCTCCCTCGTTATGGTCCTCTTGAGGGCATCCACGCCTTCAAAACGGGCCAGCTATGATGATCCTTTGAGCTTGGGAAAAATACAAAGGTCACACATAGCAAGATCAGATGAATATAAAGGTTGTTCTGGTACGGCGATGTTCTTCTCGGCTAGTAACTGACGGATGCTCAGGGCGTTGTGTGCATCGTCATTTTCAGGGTGAAGCTGTATGTGAAAAAAAAAAAAAAGGCAATGGTTGCATAAAGCTAAGATTACAGTTCCATACTCCCAAGATATCATGTTAGATGATAACACAATTCGCTTATCCCTCTTTCGGCCATAGCTCACGAAGCGTACCCAGTCCCGTTACTTTTCAGACAGAGCTATGTGAAGAAATACTACTTACAAATAGGAATGTTTGCTTCTAAACCTATTTTTCACGTAAATCCCTTGTAAATCCCACAACTGGCGCCCTACGGTGGCGTAGTGGATGTCTGTCTGAAAAGTAACGGAACTGGTGTTACAAACAATTTATTTCAATACCAAACATCACTCTATATGTTTCCCCCCTCAAAGAATTCCCACTTGAATCTAATTCATTTTCCATCCTTCTCTGACACGCTTCTATTCAATGCTGGAAGGATTCATATTGGATGCTCCTCAGATCCATGATCCTCTTCAGGTTCGTTTATCCCTCTTTCGGCCATAGCTCACGAAGCGTACCCAGTCTCGTTACTTTTCAGACAGAGCTACTTCGTTATGACCTGTATGTACGACTAAAACACACAAAAAAAATTATATTCATGTGCTTGCAACAATTCTCTACATCTATCTTGAACCATCATTAAATTTGACGAGACATATAATTTTACTGCCTACAACATTCATTTAAAATATCACCCACCTCCCCGTAGATTATAGCCGTTTTAGTTGAATATTTCCATGATACACACAGCCTTTAGCCTAGTCACCAAATCTAATATAGCTGAACATTAATAAGCTGTTCAGAAATAAGGTTTTACGTCCTTATCTTAAACAACACGTTTCTCTTTTTTAACCCTAGAACACTAACCATCAGTATATAGTACCCAGCACAAATTTTCCTATTTTTAATTACAAATTTCAGTACCTGATTTTATTTCCTAAATAATGTTTTTCAGTTCCTATTAATGTTAACTCAAAGTGCAAAGTTTGAAATGCCTGCATGTAAAATATTTCAAATAAAGATTTATATTTAATATTCTTTTTGATATTTTAAAAATCGGGTATGATATACCCATGGTTAGTAGTGGGGTAACTTTAATTGGTGTTTAGTGTTCTAGGGTTAGTGCTTCATTAAAGTTTGTAATTTCCATGTTTCTATATTTTGATCTAACTTTCGTTATATTCCAAATCAACACTACATGGCGAATGTGACATATTATGCTCTGTGGATTGAATCATTATTTTCACTGACATGAATTTGTTTACATTTTTAATTATTTCTCCCCAAGCAAGGCGACAAAGCCACTAACACACAAGGGAGTCACTGAATATAAAAGAATATCAGGCAAACATTATTAAGGAGCGGGAACAACAAAAGAACAGAAATTATGAAGACAGAAGATAATGATTGACATTGCATTTAATTTTTTTGAATTTCAAACTAGATTGGAATGCAAGAAACCGGAAGAGAGTTTCGCAAATGAGTAAAGAATCTGTTAGCAATAGAACATACGGTTCCATCTAGCCATTTCAACTGTAAAATGATGAGATCATGATGCCAGTACAGTAATACGCTTAAATTTATTGGTCTAAGTACCATAGAGCAGCAGTCGGCAACCTTTTGCTAACTATTTGCCGACATAGGGTTTTAAAATAATTCAATGTGCCAACAGCATACGTATTTCTATACAAGTCAAGGTCAATATATTAATATATAATATATATACTTTAGTATTTTAAGACATTTTTATGTTATACATTCTTTTTTTTATAGATACAAATATTTAAGTAAATGCTCTGTTTTATAATAAACAGTATTAAAACAACATTTACTATATATATATATATATATATATATATATATATATATATATATATATGTATATATACTTCCAAAACAAAGTTTTTTTAATCAATATATATCAACCAAGCCTGAAGTCTTATTGAAATGTTCAGACTTGGTTGGAAGATCGAACTGAAGCGTGAAACGGACAGACACCATGCATCGTTGATTCCTATCTCTCTCTCTCTCTCTCTCTCTATATATATATATATATATATATATATATATATATATATATATATATATATATATATATATATATATATATATATATATATATATATATATATATATATATATATATATATATATATATATATATATAACCCATTTCCCAACCCACTAAGACGCAAGGGTTACCGAGATATAAGAATCTGAAAAAATAACAGAATTCAAGGAGGCAGATGATGACAATTGACATTGCATTTAAGTTTTTGAAGTCCAAAGTCGATTGGAAAGAATGAAGCCGAAAGAACGTTTCACGAGCGAGAAAAGTAATTAGCATAAAACTTATGTTTACATCTACCAATTTCAACTTTAAAGTGATGAGCCCTAACTGCCAATCTAGTACTGCGTTTAAATTCGTAAAATCGATGAAATCTCATCAAAATAATCACCATTAAAATATTTCAAGAAAAGTTAAAGGGAACCTACGGCGGTGTGAAAATTATTGAATCTGAGATGATAGGTCAGGATCTGTAACATTATAGATCCTTCTTTGGATACATAGCAGAAACGCCAGACCAAATGTGATAGCAATCTTTAGTACATAGACAAATGGTGGACTTATAAATGTGTAAAATAGGTTCTGACTAGAGAAATTGTCTTAACGTCACAGAGGAGGAACTTTTTTTAGCAGCAGACTCAGAAACTAATTCAATATAATGGTTCCGTTCTTTTCAGTGGGAAAAGTCCAAGAAGTAAAACGTTTTTTACTGACATGGAGAAGACAAGCTAAAGAGTATCAAATATACGGGATATTGTGTTAATCAGAAATTTTTCTGTCGTCTGTATCTTTTGGATTTAAATATCAATAAAAATAATTTATGTGATACTTAGTTTTCCCGCATAATAAATCTGACACTTCCAAAACAAGTTTTGCATCAATATATATCAACCAAGCCTGAAGTCTTATTGAGATGTTCAGACTTGGTTAGAAGATTGCACTGAAGCGTGAAACCGACAGTCACCATGCATGGTTGATTCCTACGACTACACTGTCTTTCTCTGTCTTATATATATATATATATATATATATATATATATATAAGTGAACATTGAAGTCAAACAGCCTGTCGCCTCTGAGTGTTGACTTCAATGTTCACTTTTATATTTATATTTACATACGCCCTTATCTCTGATATTGAGCACGTTATCCCATAAAAATAGCACACCCTAAAACTATCTTTCACAATATATATATATAATGAAATGGATAAAAATGACAATAATTTAATATATTTTCTGTTTATACGTTATTTTTTTAATAGATACAATTTATTTAAGTTTGTGTTTTGTTTGTTTTTTGGCTCTTATTGTTACACATTCAGTTATTCTTCTTAGTGAATTTATTTCCTTGTTTGGAGTGAAATTATATATATATATAAATATAACTTCAAAGAAAAATTAGAATAATACAATACAATAATCAAAACAATCTATTAAATCAAAGGAAAGAATTAGTTTTAAAATCACGACATAAAAACAAATTTAAACTATAATATAGACTTTATTTTATTACTTATTAATTCTCTAACTTTTCAAATGTCGAATGTATTACTATTTCTAATTTCTATATTTTTTTCACCATATTAATTATATCATCTTATAATTGTCCCCTGTTCTGAGAACTCTCTTTCCTTTTTTATCACTTCCACCTATATATATATATATATATATATATATATATATATATATAGTTAGTTAGTTAGTTAGTTAGTTTATGAAAAACTAGGTAATCCGTATGGGT